ATAAGCTACCTCCAAGGACTTAGCTTGGAAGGATTTGGATTTTGAAGACTATCTTTAGTTATTTGTTTTTATTTGATAAACATTCAAGCCTAGGGCTTTATTTGTATTTGAGTTAGAACTCATATTTTTGTGTCCAAGTGTTGGCTTGGAAAGATGTAAGCCCATAGGGCATTTAATTTGATAGTACATGTAATGTTTTCTTTTTGTAATACTTTGATGAATGAGATAATGAATTGATTTCTTTTAATATTGCATGCCAATGATATATATATATAATGGGTTTATTTTGAGGGCGTGACAAAAGCACTAGGAGTCTAGTCGCTCAGATTTTAGTAGCCCCTCTTGATAACTTCCATTCTGAAGTCAGAGGCTGTTGGCCACCAAAGAGTCATTATGGGAGTGCGTCCATTTAAACATCTTGATATCGAAAAATTCTCTCTATCGTGGCATAAAATAATTATTTGTTATTTTTTTGTGCAATTATTTTGTGATTCAATCTTTAAAAATATTAAGAAGTTACATCTGTCATTTGTGATGAGCTCATGAACCAGATAGTTGCATATTTTTTCTACTGAAAAGTTAATCCATCCAACAAAAAGTGTTCTACTATATTTTTCTTTTTAACCCGATGGATTTGTATATGGCAGGAGGTATGTCCCTACACATTATTTTATGCTGTTACTCGTTTTCATGTCATGTGTGACTTGGACAGTTCAAACTGGACTTCTCAAAAATTTGCTGCCTACATTGCTTAACTCCCTCCATATAATTATAGTTGACATTTAGTTTCTCTTTACATAAAGTTACAATTATAAGTCTCCCTCTAAGATGACTTCACAAAGAAGTGTTCATGTATGTCACATTTGCTTATGAATGCATGCCAAATTACTAGTGAAATTAGCCAACTACATGCAGTTGACAAATAGGCAAAACATCCAGATCTGTTATTACTATTTCATTCACTTCATTATTGCAATGCTAATCGAACCTCTAAACTTACTTAAGCTCTCTTCCAGTACAGCGTATTTTTCCAAGTTGCCGTCCATTCCCAGGTTCATCTTTGATTGATGTGTACTGTTCCAATAATGGACAAGAGTGGGATGATGATAAAAGATAGACTAAAAAGTAAAGAGTATCTTCAAGGTGTTCAGTCATTTATTGAGTTTGCTACGAAGAATTTAGGCCTGCAAGATGAAATATGTTGTCCTTGTGTTGATTGCTTGAACGGCACAAAATTTACTCCACACATTGTACGGTTGCACTTGATTCGAAGAGGAATCGCATGTTCTTATTGAACTTGGGTGCACCATGGCGAACATGTTCCCATATTTCGTGATCATCCTACTATGCGAAACGATGCTATTGAAAGCAACGGATCTGGAATGACAGCCAATCACGAAAATGTGGGTGAACTTCCTACCATGTTAGAAGAGATTTATATGAGTGGTCTCATGGATGATCATATCGACGAAGAACGTACTAGTTCAGAGAGGCACAATTTGTTGAAGTTCATGAAGTTGTTTGATGATGCTCAACGCAAAGTATATCCAGGGTGTGAAAAGTTCTCCATCTTGTCCTTCGTAATTAAGATGCTTCATGTGAAGGTGTACAATAAATGGAGCAACAAATCTTTCGATATGGTTATGTAAGTTTTCAAAGACATTCTACCAAAGTGTGATGAAACTGTTCCATGGACCCTTTATGAAGCAAAAAAGTTCTTACGTGAATTGGGTTTGGGATATGAGGCCATTCATGCATGCAAGAATGATTGTACTCTATTTTGAAATGACAACGCCGCGTTGGAGAATTGCCCTACATGTACGGAGTCTAGATACAAGTTGAACGACAAGACGGGTAAAAAAATTCCACACAAAATATTGAGGTACTTTCTTTTAAAACCGAGGTTGAAGAGATTGTACATGTCAAAAAAAACAGCCGCACATATGAGATGGCACAAAGATAAGCGTGTGGATGATGGAGTCTTACGACATCCAGCTGATGGTGAGGCATGGAAGGACTTTGATAGGCTGCATGCTACGTTCTCTGCAAATCCTCGGAATGTAAGGCTAGGGCTTGCCACGGATGGTTTCAATCCATTCGGAAATATGAGTACATCGTACAGCATGTGGCTCGTAATCTTAATGCCTTACAATCTACCCCCATGGAAGTGTATGAAAGATCCATTTGTGATGATGTCATTGCTTATTCCCGGATGATCCGCACCTGGAAGAGATGTCGATGTTTACTTGCAACCATTAGTAGAAGAGTTAACTAATTTGTGGGAGCATGGTGTGCAAACATATGATGCCTCAAACGACCAAATATTCACAATGCATGCAGCAGTCATGTGGACCATCAATGACTTCCCTGCATATGGTTCCTTGTCTGGTTGGAGAACAAAAGGTTACTTGGCCTACCCTAACTGTAACATGGATGCTTCATCTCAGAGCTTGCGAAGTAAGATAGGGTATATGGGTGCTCGACGGTACTTACCTGAGAACCATAATTGGCAAAGAAGTAAGCTATTCAATGGTGAAATTGATAATCGGTCCAAACCTGTAGAGTTATCAGGAGAACAAATACTTGAACAAATTAGTTTGGGGATGTACAGGCCGTATGGAAAGCATCCAACCAACCAAAAAAGACAAAGGACTGAAAATCCAACTCTGAACTGGAGAAAAAGAAGCATTTTGTTCGACCTACCCTATTGGAAAACACTTAAGCTTCGACATAACCTTGATGTCATGCACATTGAGAAGAATATATGTGACAATCTGCTTGGGACACTATTGAGCGTAGATGGCAAGAACAAGGACACATACAAAGCACGTTTGGATCTGGAGGACATGCGAATATGAAAGGAGTTACACTTGATAAGGCATGCGAATGCCTCTTTCGAGAAGCCTCCGGCATTGTACACATTGTCCCCGGCGGAGAGACAAGGGTTTGCTGATTTCCTGAAATCGATTAAGTATCCTGATGGCTATGCGGTAAATATATCCAATTGTGTCACCGCGAATGATGGTAAGTTAGCTAGCCTCAAGAGTCATGACTGTCATGTCCTTCTACAACGACTTCTTCCCATTGGGATGCGAGGATACTTTCCTATCGAGATTGGGACCACATTGTTTGAGTTGGGAACTTTTTTCAAACAGTTGTGCTCAAAGACATTGAGGGTGACTGATTTGGAGAAATTGCAAGAACAAATCGTACTTATACTTTGTAAGCTTGAGATGATTTTTCCTCCTGCTTTTTTTGATGTCATGGTCCACTTGGCAGTTCATATGCCTTATGAGGCTTTGCTTGGAGGGCCTGTGCAATATCGATGGATGTATCCTATTGAGAGGTATAAGTACGATGGGGGTGTTTTTTTCCATTTAAAATATACTTCAATATGACCATTCTAATGATCAGGCTGATGTTTACATGTAGTATGCTTGGAGTTCTTAAAGGATTTGTGGGCAATAAAGCTCGGCCAGAAGGTTCCATTGCGAAGGGCTACATATCGAAAAAGAGTGTGCGACGTTTTGTTCAATGTATTTGGATGGAGTTGAAATGGTGTTTAACCGGGAAGAAAGAAACTACGATGGGGGTGACAATGGGCCGAGGTTGGCGATTTTCACTCAAAATGTTCATCCTTTTGGTCAACTCCCAAGGGCAATTGATGTGTCCGTAGCTGGCCGCGAATTGGCTCATTGGTTTATCCTACTCAATAGTTTGGAAGTGGACGAATATCTAGAGTATGATTCCTCATCATATATGCAACATACATTTTCTACATGGTTTTTATTGTTTAAATTCTCCATTATTCAAATTACTTATGAATTATGTTGTATTAACTAGGGAACACAAGCTCGTGTTGCAACAAAAATATGGAAGTTCATGCAACATTGCAACGCGACAATGCAAAGAATTTCCTAAATGGTTCAAAGATCGCGTAAGCTTAAACTCGTTACTGTATAGTTTGCATAAAACCTTACATTATTCCAAGTTTGAATTAACATGACATACTTTCTTGTCTAGATGAACCAATTGTGAAATCAAAAGTCACCCGAAGCAACCGATGAGATGTGGTCATTAGCCAATAGACCTAATGCCTTGGTGAACACATATGAGGGTTGCATTTCTAATGGCGTCCGATTCCATACTATCGATCGTGATAACCGTCGTAAATGCCAAAATAGTGGGTTGGTAGTGGAAGGCGACCACTAAGGCCAATTGATAAAGTTCTACGGCTACCTTTGTAAAGTGTGGGAATTGACATATTTGTTTGGACATCGGGTTGTTTTGTTCCAATGTGAAAGGTATAACACCGACAGTAGCCGAACTTTGCGTGTCGAACCACATGTGACAACTGTTGATGTAAGAAGTCGATGGTATAAAGATGACTCGTTTGTGTTCCCAAGTCAAGTTCAACAAGTTTTTTACGTTCATAATACGAAGTTAGGGCCGAATTGGGGAGTCGTAGAAAAGTTTCAACATCGACGAATTTGGGATGTGCTAGAGCTGGATGTGCCAGAATTTGATGAAATGTTGCAAGAAGATGAAACCACTACTGTTGTACCAACTGAGCCTATTGATGATGATGTTGTTTTGCGTCGGGATGACATTGAACCTGAAATTATTTCAATGGAAGTTTCTCAATCCAAAAAGCGTGTACAATCCAAGCGTGTTATGGATGATGCTTTCATCTGTGATGACGATGATGAAGTAACAATCGCCGGTGATGACGAAGAAGACGATGAGATTACTAGTGATTTTGATATAGATACGGACCAGGAGTTTTAACTCACTCTGTTCTGCCAGATTTTTGTTTCGGTCTACTGTCCCATTGGCCAGATTTTCCCACAAGTTGTGGCAGATTTACTAATCTGCTCTGTTGGTAGTCATGCTGCTGTTTTTACTTTTTTAAGTTGGTGTTCATTGTTAATCTGCTGGTTTCTTCATTTGGGCCTGTGTAATTTCTGGTTGCTTAATTTGCTTAATAAAAAAACATTTCCTTATGCATCTTCATCTACATCTACATCTATATGTACATAAAAAAATTCCATAATGATGATGTTGGAATGTGCATGTATCTTTGATTGTGCATCTTCATGTAACATGTACCTAAAAGCGTTTTCCTTTAACTGATTATGTGAAGTTAGTGCCATGGCTGTTGATTTTAGATTGGGGGTTGTTATAGCCATAGGTGAATTAGATAATTTGGTGTTATTTGCTCCTATCTGCTGCATTGATTTGTTACGGGTGAGGCGTAGCGCGCTTAACAGTTTAACATGATTCTACTACAACAACAGAAAAAACAAATTCTATTACTAATGTTGATGAGCCACAATATATATGTTTGCTCTATAATGTGTCTTTTACTTCTCATTTTTTTTTTTGCCTCGGTTATTTGGGGTTTTTAGGATTCTGTCCAGTTTAGGTGGTCTGAACATAGGTCCTATTATTATGGACTTGGGATATGAGTTCTAGGGCGGAATTTCATGTTTTTCAGAAGTTAAATTCTTGTAATTTCAGTAGTGTTGTTTAAATTATACTTAAATGTTACTAATTATTTATGCTTCCTTTCCACCCATCAGACCATAACCCTCTTGAACTTTGACATTTGACATTCAACTTCTCTACTACAACAAAAATCTTTTGCCTGTTTAGGTAGGTTTGACTATGTTAAATCACCTCAACTATAGGACTCCAAAATTTTTGAAAGTACCTAATTTAGAATTCCAGCATGTAGGTTAGACTAGCTACAATGTAGACCATTGTATTCAAACATTGGCCTTAGTTTGTAATTTTTATTTATATGACTTTTGACTTAGATATATCATTATTAAAGTTTTATTACCACATAGGTACATCCTCCCTCACCTGAGCTTATCTTATCTGCCTCTTCTCTCTCCCTTCCTGTGGTAAGCGACGAGGGACTACCATCGTTGCCGCCTCCCACCCCTTCCTTTCATCTGCTTAGGGAGTGCACAGGTCAGTGCAGAGTGTTTTGGGACAATTTTGTCAACCAAGATAATTCATACCAACATAATTCATAACTTTTCTTATGTAGTGTATTGATTTTTAATAATTAATACCATTTTTTTTTGGATAAATGCATCCCCTTGAATCTTATGAGATTAGTAGCATGTTTTCTTTTGATGACAATGCTCATATCTGTAGACTATAGTCATGATATTTTGCAATTGAACATGGAAATAAAATTACCTACTGATGCCTCTGTAGACCATATTTTGCTAATATGGTGCATTTTGCTAATCTGATGCCTCTGTATCTGTGTGATGGTTACATTGGTGTATCTACTGTTACATTAGCATTTGGCCTGGTAATCCTACTACTCTAGTGCGTACTGCTGTTCTGTGTTGCGTACTGCTGATCTGGTAATCTGCTAATCTGGTGCATTGCTGCCTTTAGTATCTGTGTCTGGTGCTTGTGATAGCTAATCTGCTGTTGTTGTTACCTGCTTCATATCTGTGTGTGGTGCTCTCGCAAGGGTTTGCTATTTTGTGCTTCATTTATTGTAGTGTTGCTATGTCTCTGTTGGTTCCTCACCAGCCGAAAATGCGGGTTGATGCTGTCATATGATTCTGTGAGCCAATCAGCATATGATAAATCAAAATATAGTCAATCTTAATGATGATACAAATACATAACAAAAGGGCGAAGACGGGTCTCGTGCGTAAGACACAAGGGCTGACTCTCCCAAAACCTTTGTTGTTCCACATAGACTTCACTGGGGTTTGGACTTCCCTGGGCTCACCTACAAACATATGAATGAGCGTGAGCGATAGCCCAGCGAATAATATCAAATACAAAAGTTATACAAACGATATGTAGAACAATATGCTTCAAACAGCCTTGGGCCCAACTCATATTTCTATTTAACATATATACACAATTTATATCAAGTGACTGCGGTTCTGAACAAACTGGCCTTTGGCCCATTTAAACTTTCATTTGTGTCAAAACGGCCTTTGGCCCATTCAAATGACTAACTGGTATTTGGGCCATTCAGATGACAAACTGGCATTTGGCCCATTCAAATGACAAACTGGCCTTTGGCCCATTCATTGATGTTAAAACGGCCTCCGGCCCATTCATTCATGTCAAAACGGCCTCCGACCCATTCATTCATGTCGAAACGGCCTCTGGCCTATTCATTCTTGTCAAAACAGCCTCTGGCCCATTCTTTCATTCATATCAAACATTTGTCCATAATTCAAACTGGCAAACTTATAAGGCTTATAAGAAAATAGGCAATTGGACAAACGACAAGTTTCAAATATCAATATTACTTACAGTGATTGGTTGGTTGGTTTGCCCTGGAGCTTGACCCTACACATTCCATGAACACAAAAGGGTCACAAATAATTCGATCCGTTCTAAACTCACATTTTCCTCTTTAGGCTTCATTTTTATCTCTTTAACTCAATTACAATGCTCAATGCATGCCTAAGAGTGCTTACAAGTGAATAAGAACGGAAAACGAAACATAGAACGCACTTTCAAAATTTTCAGAAACAGGGTCCCCGCTCGAGCGGACCCTTAAGGTCTGCAAAAGTGCTGGTTGTATCATTTTTACGCTCAAGCTTGAACTCGGACGATCAAGCGGAAGTTCATCCTACATAGCTCCCCGCTCAAGCGTGAACTTCCCCGCTCGAGCGGACACCATGCCTACAAGAAAATACTGGGAGCTCGAAATCCCCGCTCGAGCGGCGGTTCCCCCGCTCGAGCGGACAGCAAAAATTCTGGGTTTTCCAGAATGGTTCTTGAGCTGGAATTCAACACTCTACCCAACATTTCTTGCATGCCATGGCTCAAATTTCACATACACATATACTAACATGATACCAACACCAAATTACAACACGATGAAGCTCAATTTCTTGAATTACTTACATGCATGCCTCAAATTAACCCAAACTCATCACCAACACATCAAATTCAAACATGCAAAGCTCATACCTCCATGATCTACTCTTGCATGTGAGAAATATTCATTCATATCAACTTAATTGGTGAAGAGATGATCACATACATGGATTTCAAACAAGATTCAACATAGATTATATACATTGTGTTCAAATATGGAAATTTATGGCAAATTCTTACAGGCATGTGTTCTAAGACTTCAATTTCAACAAAACCAACTCAATTTCATCATAATCAATCTAATTCATGTTCTTGACCATTAATCAAACTTGAATTTACAAATTACAAACAAGAATCCATGAGTCAAGGGTTGATTACTCACCTAAGAGCCTTAATCTTCCCAATTTCTAGTTGAATCTTGAGTTTAACTTCCCAATCTCACAAACCTTGAGCCAAAACATGCAATCCTTCCTCCTTCCCTCTCTAGCTGACCCTCTCTTCCCTCTCTTAGAGTTGATATCAGCCAAAATGATTTTTAAAGAGAAGGAATGAATATAATAAGGCCCTTATAAAGCCCCCACTAAGTCACATTATTTTAATATCAAATAATTGAGCACTTAATTAGTCATTCTGAACCTAATTATTTTCATCCGAATCAGTTTCCAATTAAATTTCACCATAGGCTCTAAAAATTATTCCAATCACAATGGTGTAATCAATTTTGGGTTCTGTGGCCGATAAGGCCTTCAATTTAATTTCCAAAGCAGATAATCAAATAGATATTCCTACGGTGAACATGTAGAAATTCAAAACCACATATTTTCACATAACGGCACACAAAATTATATTAAACACATAATCATGCTCATATTAAGGACCAAATTAGCATACTATAGAACAAGGATATTACAGTCTTCCCCGCTTTAGGAAGTTTGGTTCTCCAAACTTCATTTACCTTCGTCGGGAAACAAATGTGGATAGCGTAGTCGCATTTCATCCTCTTTTTCCCATGTAGCATCCGTCCCATAGTGTTCTTTCCATTCCACTTTCACCATTGGGATGGACTTGCTTCTCAATTGTTTCACTTGTCGGTCAACGATTTGTTCCGGCCATTCGACGTATTCCATATTTTCATCTAAAGCTACCCGGTGATAATCAATCACATGAAATGGGTCTCGGAGGTAACCCCTCAACATTGACATGTGAAACACATTATGGATTTGTTCGAATCCCGGTGGCAAAGCAACTCTATAGGCAACTGGGCCAAGCCTTTCCAGAATCTGAAACGGTCCAATGTAACGGGGCGACAACTTGCCCTTCTTTCCAAACCTGACTTGGCCTTTCATCGAAGATACACGGATGAACACATGGTCACCAACCTCATACTCAAGAGGTCTTCTCCGAACATCTGCATAATTGTTTTGTCGGTCCTGAGCTATTTTGAGCCTCTGCCGAATAGTCTTGATTTTCTCAGAAGTGTCTTGCACAATTTCAAGCCCAAGTAAAGCTCTATCCCCGACTTTTGTCTAACAATTTGGTGATCTACACCTTCTACCATAAAAAGCCTCGTATGGTGCCATACCGATGCTGGAGTAGAAGCTGTTATTGTATGCAAATTCTACAAGTGGCAAATAGTCTTCCTAACTCCCCTGAAAATCCAAAGCACACATCCGAAGCATATCTTCCAAAGTCTGTATTGTTCGTTCTGATTGCCCATCTATCTGCGGGTGGAATGCAGTACTGAACCTTAGTTCCGTCCCCATAGCTTCCTGCAAACTCTTCCACAATCTAGATACAAATTTCGGATCTCTATCCGACACAATAGATACCGGAACTCTGTGTAAACGGACGATCTCATCAACATAAATAGTAGCCAATCTATAAGCATTAAACGTAGTTTTGACAGGCAGAAAATGTACAGATTTAGTCAGTCTATCTACTACAACCCAAATAAAATCCATACCTCGAGAAGTCCGAGGTAGGCCAATAACAAAATCCATAGTCACGTGCTCCCACTTCTATTCAGCAATAGGGAGAGGTTGAAGTAGACCGCCTGGTTTCTGATGTTCAGCTTTAACTTGCTGACATTGAAGACACTTGGACACATATTCTGCGATCTCTTTCTTCATTTTTTTGCCACCAATAGGCCTGTTTCAAATCCTGATGCATTTTATTGTTACCCGGATGCATAGCAAATGCTAATTTGTGGGCTTCATCTAAAACCCTCTTCTTTAGTTCCAGAATGTCTAGGACACACATTCGGTTTCGAAATCTCAACACTTCATTTACAACGCAAACTCTGCTTTTGCACTTGTCTCAAATTCATCTATCACCTTCTTGAGGAATTCATCATCTTTCTGTTTCTATTTGATTTCATCAATGATTGCCAGCTCGGCTATAATAG